GGTTTCTGAAGGTACCTGAACACACCTTGTTTGACAGACCTGGCGGTTTGAGCCTTTTATCAAGCTGCGACACTAGCATGTAGCGAGCTAGCACATGTCCGCTAATAATTTTCTTATGCTAAACACATGTAATAATTACTGAATAGTGTAAAAAAGTACATTATATTAAGAACATTATAAAAGCTGCTGTTTCCTTATGTATTTGGTAGCATTGTCTGTGGGTTTGGGAACACCCAGTCTAAAGAATTCACATCAAATCAGCGGTTGTGATGCTATTTTTCATCTAATCATAAACCAGAATGTTTCTAATCTCAAGACTCTGCAACTGTTTGACCAGTCGACCACCAGGTGTGAAAGGCTTTTTGGAGAGTGATTTGAAATGATCACTAACAAATACACAAATACATACAGCAACAGAAGTTAAAAAGCTTAAAAGCTACTGCACACACACACAGAGACACACACGAGGAATTCCCCTCGTTCTCATTCCGCTCCATCCCCGAGACATCTTTGAACCCTCCTATCATGCAGTTTCCATTTCTTCCTCGGTGAGTATCTCTCTCTGAGCTGCTGCACTTCAGCCAAAACAAATGAGTCTGGAACATTCCCACAATGGATGACAGCAGTCCTCAATGGAATTATGACTATCTCTGTGTTGTTTCTCTCTTTATCAAAGCATTTTCTCATCTACTTCAACCTCACCCCAGCAATCTATTTCTCTCCCCCTCATGCTTCCACCTATACACCAAGATCCTCACGGTGTCTCTTGTTTTTATTTATCCCCTGTTCAGATACACTGAGTCATCTGCCTCTAGACCAATAGGCCGGCAGCGTGAGTGAAGCAGTTACACTGAGCACTCTGATACACAGCAACAGGCACACCTGCTTGCCTCCGAACCCCCATCCATCTACGGTATCTCCATCATTCCTCCTTTATATTTCTTACTCCTCTTTTTGTTCATTTTTACACTCCTCTTCCCTCTCTGGCTGTCAAAAGTAAAAAAAAAAAAACCCAGCACCAACAACAACAACAACAAAAAACTCCAGCAATACAAGCCTGCTTCTCTTTTTGTCAGTGCTTTATCAGGTCATCTTTCCTTCCCATTCCTCATTCTGCTCTGCCTTCACCGCCCCTCTCACCGCTCCAGTCGCACTTTCTTAACTTCACTCAAAGCTTGGATGAGTAACAGTGGGAGCCGAGCTGGGAGGCAGCAGTAAAACAACCTCCTGATACACGCACACACAATATATGTGAACATCCTAAAGAACAGTCTTTCTATCTATCTATAGGCCGACTACTATTCATCCATCCTGCATACAAATATTGTATTTCAAACTTTTTTCTGCAGAACTATTGCCCCAGCCACCCCCGACTGTCAACACAATCATAGCTCATGTAACTATCTATCCATCTGTTGGACTGCTGTCATTAAACCAGTTATTCATCCTTTGATCATTAATAAATTAATTCATCAATCATCCATCCTAGCGCACTTTTTTTCCGCAAATAAGAGTTGATGGGGGGGGGTCCAAACCTCTAGTTTCTAAAGTTTTTCTGCAGTGCCCCTCCTTTTTGTAGACAGGATTATTGTCGACCCACCCGACCCTTCTACCCCACCCTGGACAAGACGTCTGTGTCTCCTCTAATGACCCTGTCCATCCTTGTCACTCCTAAAGAGAATCTTAGTCCCTTGCTGTCCTGTCTCCCCACACAAAATCTTATGCCACCTGGTTCTCACTTTGGAAATCACTGCACTTAGAGTTATTTTTCCTGTTGTATATGGATACTTGTATACGTTTAAAAATACCACTGTAAAGGAGAAGGAGTGGCTGTCCAAGTACAGAAGTAAACACGTCCCCAGATGAACATGCAGCTGAGCAAAAAGGGCTGCTTGGAAATCCATCATCTGGTAAAGCAGCCATCCCTGGCTTAATCCCTCATCAGCTGAACCTGAGCCTGAGAGTTACACTTGCAGGTAGTAAACTAGTCCGCCCCCGGTGGCTGTGTGCGTTGTCATGTCATGGTTGAGATGAGGCCCCGAGTGTGGCTCCATAACCCACTTACTTGCAGTGAGGCAGTCTGAAGACTGGAGGAGCGGGCTGTGGTGAGTCATGCATCAGCATCGCATCAGGTGGAGAGAGAGCTTCTCAAGGCAGGACATGAAATAGTGGAGAAACAACCTGGGAGGAATATCTGTCTGAATACAGAAATAGAAAAATCATTCAATAGAGCCATAAAGCTGTGGTACACACACACACAGACATATATACATATACATACATATATACACACATATATACACATACATATACATCTATACATATATACACACATATATAAATACATATATACAGTATGTATATATATATATACACACACACCATACATAGCTAAATATATACATATTTTTGAGGGCACGGACTATGAATTTGACTATTGGTTAAGTCGTTGATAAAATAATATCGTATGCCAATTAGAAGTAAAGAGTACACGCGCACACGTGCAGAAGAACAAACTTCGACTTTTCTAGACTTAAACTTAAAATCAATTTTACATTTTTAAAAAAAGGTTTAAATAATGACAGGTGTTTAAATCAGTGTCGAGAGCCTCGACCATTTCGTCCACACGAGGAGCTCTCTCTGCGGCAGATACAGCCACTTTGTCTCGACACGAGACGGCTCCTGGGCTCCGAGATGTGAAATCAGAATAGGAAACTAATCTGTTTCACTAGCCTGGGTCGGCCTATTCCTGTCTCATCTCAACCAGACTGTGACAACAAAGCTAATTACCAAAGCCCCAATTCCGCAGCAATGATAGTCTTGTTAGCCTCCAATTTACACTTTCAATTGAATCAAGTGCACCCCCATCATCTGTCTCATACTGACTATATTTTGCTGCTTACAAGAGTTGATGTCTGAGGAGTTTGATTAAGAGCGAGTTGGGAATTAACTTTCCATATGGACAGGCCATCTGCAGAAAGTTTCTAAATTGAATCTGGTGTTTAATAAAAGCCATTACTTTCAGGATTTTTCATTGATGTAATCGGGGCCAAGTGAAGAAAGTATTGAAGTTTTACTCCTTGGTCTTTATGACTTCGTCTGAGGATTTATGTGCAGTGAGTTGAAAATGTTTGTTCATCCTCACCCCCTGCAGTTAGAACATCAACTTATAAATCCTTCAATGGTGAACTTCCCTCTACTGCTGCCTTGAGTTTACAATTCTATAAATCAGAACAGTGTTTGAAGTTTTTATGAATCACATTTATCTAATTTTTTTTATTTTTAGATGAGTATATGTATAAAATTTTAAGTAATTATTCAGTCTCTTGTGCTGAGCTGAGCCAACTGGCTCGAGATGAATCACTTTTTAAAAAAATCTAACCAACTGGCTCGAGATGAATCACTTTTTTAAAAATCTAAAAAAAATCCATATGCTTTTTATTCTTTACTTTTTCACTGATTTAAAGCATATTTCATGTCATTATTATTATTATTATTATTAGTCTTTCTGTTCCATCAATATAGAGAAAAAAAATTCAGTAATTTTTGAGGAAATTTGAGTTATCTGAATGAATCACAATTAATCACGATTAATCCACAGCTACCCTGCGATTAATCAAATTTAAAACATACTATTAAAACTTACATTACTATTAAACAGCAGAATCCCTGACTTTTTCTGATATACAAAGCCTGAATTGCGTCACAAATTAAAGTTGACGAGGGTTTTTTGGCATTTAAATACACCTTCCTGGAATTATTATATTTGTATGTGAAATGTACTTACACATTTACATGTTTTCCATCAATATTCATGGCGTTCCATCATATTCATTTACTGAGACCCAAACAGAGAGTTTATTATGCACAAGGTTGTGATAAATAATGCAGTTATCTGCTAAGAAAAAATGTTCACAGTTTAAGTGCAGCTTGAGAGCAGAGAGATTTTGGCAGCCACTTCCAAATGATTGCCTGCACAGTAGGGAACGCCGCGCGGTTAAACAGCCACTAAATGCATCTTCAGCCCTTGTAATTTGAGTTAATGGCTTTGACATTTCAATGTCGGACCCACCACAAGCCACAGTGAGCAAAGTCTTTAAAAAAAAGCCAAGCAAGAAAAAGAAAAAGAAAAAACCCTTTAAAAGTGATGCCGTTGAATCTTTAAACCCCATTCCATTACTGTACTCCTTACTTTTCCAAGAGAAGAGGAGAAAAATCAGGGCATTCAGAATTTATGTGCACGCATTGTTCTAGTACATTTAGCTCAGAATGGATGTCTGCTGGATGCTGCTGAGCACGTCAGAGAAACAAAGAGTTTATTTCACCTTTATACAATTGTGAAAGAGACAAATATTACAGACCATTTCATCCCTGCTAGGTTAGAGGTGTTGCGTGGAACAAAAAAAAAATCATAAATAACAAATAGTTAAGACCAAACAGTTGGCTCAGCGCAGTGTTTGAGGAAAAAATATTGTATTTTAAAATATGTCTGCATTGGTTAGTCCGTGTTGTCAGATGCTGTAGAATAAACAGAAACAGAAAGAAAAAACAGCTGTTGGTTTTACTTCCCCAGTCCCTTTGCTGTGGTGGTGGTGGTGCAACTTGCAATAATAAATGTAAATTTATTTCCCTGAATAAACTGTAGGCAAGCATCAAACGCATCACTAGCTGTATTAGAATGTAATGCCCCATGACAGGCTATAATTACCCATGGACAAGGGCCACAGCTGAAGACAAACAGGAAGAGGCGGGAAAGAAGAGTGTGTGTGTGTGTGTGTGTACATGCATACAGTGTATGTGTGTGTGTGTGGGGGGGGGAGGTGGCTCTGACTCAGCACATCTACTTGGCCCTCAGAGGCGTTTGGCTCTTTTATTACCTAATCCAGTTTAGGAGATGAATCCAAACCATAATCTAATATTCCCATAAACGATTGCCTCCATATATAGTACACAAGTCCCTGACCTTAGCTGTTACTGCAGTTTAGTGGAGACTGTGATGACACAAAATAAAAATGTCTTTGAAGGATAACATTTATATTTGTCTATTTTTCAAAATTTGCCATCACAGTTCCGTCCCTGCAGGGGTTACTACAAATGTAGTTTAAAAGCCTGAGGTTACTGTCAAAGTACCAACAGTATCACCAATATTAAAAAAAGAAAGAAGCTAACAGGCTACGTTGGTACACGCAACTTGAGGAGTACCACTGTTGTCCCTTCTTGAAACAAGCAGAACATTTTGTAATTTTGTACAGATCACATCGTGAATGAATGAACTGCAACCTCTGACCTAATTCTAAAACTAAGCTCTGACCTAATTCTAAACTGCTTAAACACTTGACTTGAGAATCATACTTTTTTGGTAAATTCTAAAATGCAACTCTATTATTTTGAAAAACCGAATGCTCGTATTCCGTCTTCTCTCTGGATGTTTTAGCCCTCTTTATTATCGTGTGAATGAAGACTTTTATTTTGACACGCGTCTTGACGTTTCAGGAAGTGTTTTAATTGGAAAGAATGTCATTCTTTCCAATATAACACCAAGTCGATAAAACAAATCCATATCCGCATAACTTCATTACGGTTATATAAACCATAACGAGTCTTTATATCCTAGCTAACTAAGATAACCATAATAATGCCATTACTAAAGCAACAAACAAACAAACGATGCACAATACAGCCACAGGTGCGATATGATGTACATAAAAACGCATCAACAACAACAATTATAATATTATTAAAAAGACGAATTGCATTTTACTCACCAAATTATGCGTGAATTGACGTCCATCCCTTCTGATTCTGAAAGTCGAGTCTCATCATTAAAGCAGTGGACATTAAATTTCCGAGGTTCCAAGTCGCTACAAACAGTTGAGGTAGGAAGTCAGGAAGTTTCGAGACCGCTTGTTCTTTGACCATCCAATCAAATCACTCAAATCGCCAACGTAACGGAAGGCCACTCAGAATGACTAGGTGTGGCCAATTCGAAATGTGATTGGTTAAATAAACAATCTCGTTGCCATTCATTATAAACTGCCAGCGGCTGAAATGTGATTGGTTAAAAAAACAACAATAACTCCAGAATAAGCGACCGGAAGTAGCGCAACAAAGTGGAAGGCGAACGAGAATTACAGACTACTCTGTCCTATTTTATAAATATTCATAATAAATATCATGTTATAATAAAATATTTATACAAGTTAGACAGGTGACTCCGGGCCATAACACTTTGTCTCTTACTCATTACTCAAGCTCTAGCATTGACTGCTACGGCTAAAAGACAATGAAACATTGCTTCATTGGCAGCTTTCATCTCACCAAGGTCTTGTCACATCTCGCTCTGTGGCTCATCCTGCCCTTCAGGTATGAGTCATGCCACAGCCCTGCGTCCCCAGACCGATAAAATACCCAGCAGTACCTTGACTACTCGTCCTGCCAGACAGCGGGACAAATAGTACCAGAGAGAACAGTGAGCAAATCCCACAGAGACCCTCTGTCATGTGTTGTTTTAGATTATCCTTAACATACTTTTTGTTCCGTCTAGCTCAAAATAATATTCCTCTGGCAACGCTGCACTGTCAACACAGCACTGTTTGTTCCCCTCAACCAATTTTCTAACACCATGTCCATGTATATTGGAATATTCTACTGGAATATTCGATTCTGATTTTTCTTTATCTACAGTATATGGCTAAAATACGTTAAGATCTTATCACAAAAATACTTAATAGGCTTGAACAATACCCTTAACAATACCTGATATATTTGATAATTATTTTTTAACTACAGGACAGTGTTAGCAGTTATAGTGAAAATTTGTTTGTTGTTTTTTTTTGCCCACTTCAAATAAAAACCTACATGTTGGTAATAATTGGCTGCTAGACTTTTAAGGTTCAGAGATTTCACATCCAAACCCAACACTGCTAAGCCCTTCATCAAAAGGATTTCACATCCAAACCCAACACTGCTAGGCCCTTCATCAAAAGACAGCAATACAATGTTGTTTTGCTGTTAGCAAGCAAGCTAATCCCCTTTCCTACTCAAAAAACAAAACAAAAAAATCCCCACAAAAACTGAATGAATAGCTTGAAGTGTAACAGTTTAAAACAGGTTCTGAACTGAAGTGACATTCAAATGTAAGGGACTTTTTTTAATCACTGAATCTAATTGTTATTGTACTCGACAACAAAGCGAGACTATAGACAGTGCAGGGAATTACTTTTTTTTTTTTTGTTAAATGTGCAGCTTCATTTTCAAAGCCGTGATGTTGTAGCACGTTCACTGCATCAACCTCTATTTTTATCTCAAGATGTTTCTGTTCAAAGAAACTGCTGTTTTTCCAATGGCACAGAAAAGTTGACATTTATGCAAAGTACCTTTCATACCGAGTGGGTGGAACTGATTTATGACAGATTAAAGCAAGTCATTCTGGTCTTTCTTCAGTAGGGTCATGTTGACCAGAGTGCTGGTTATGGTCACATTAGGCTCCACTGAACAACAGGAGCAGTGTTTTTTGTCACTTGTCTGAAGAAGACAAAATGATTATTTTCTTTTTCTTTTTCAACAATTTGTTTAAATCCATTCATTTACATAGAGCAGTTATTTCCAAGGTTTAATTCAGATCTTTTAAGACAGGAGAAGATAATGAAAAACCACTTGACCTCTTTGAAAATATCAAAATTTAAGGCAACAATCCAAAGCCACAGTTAAAGTGTGTACTGGAGAAACAGTAAATTAAGACAGAAATGAAAGATGCTGAGGTCAGTGTGCCAGTAAAATACACTTGGAACAGCTTGATTTGGTACTGGGCAAAACAGATCATTGTTTCATAGAACAGCAAGAGGAACAGCGAGAAAAAAACAAAAAAAGAACACGCACATACTGCATTTGTAGAGAGAAACTTGTCCGATATTAATTAATTTGTGCAAACAAACAAGAGTAGGCACAATACAGGGCTTTTGTCTGTTGTCTGCTGATGTACTGTCATACAGCCAATGCCTTTGTCTTTGTTCAGTGCAGAAATACATGCAGTTTTCAAACAGTTGGTATGTGAAAACAAAAAGGAACCCACACAGTGAAAGTGGCAGATCATCTCTGCTGTCGAGAGCGTCAATAACCACGAGGTCACAGAGTTTGGCCACAAAACAAGGTTTTAGGAAGACACTGATTTTCAACCGAACGCTATCTGCTAAACCCCCTGAAGATAAATAAAATGTAAGGCAAGGATACTGTATATACATGTACATATAAAAATGTATCTGACATGTAAGCCCTTAGAAGGTACAATATTAGTGAAAAAAATGGCACGTCATCATTAAAAAAAAAAAAAAAATCCCAAAACAAAATCATCCTGTCATGGCTGATTTGCATATAACATATATTTCACTGACTTGGTGTTTATGAATAAAAATACATACGTATAAGTACCATTTCCCATCCATTTTTACCACAGCAGCTGTGATTGCTGCACCTCAGTCTGAAGCTCAGCCATTTTGCATTGCTTTAATTAGTTTTTAACCAAACGATCAATCATGAGTTCAAATATAACATTACCGTCAGTTGTTCGTTTATTGTACTCCGTCGACTACGATGTCAAAAAAGCTACGTAAGAAGCTGAGCTATCAACGTGATTATTTTGTACTGTATATTGGTATATATGGCATTTTCTTTTTTCATAAAATAAACATCCAAAACCTAACAGCGTCAAAGTGACCATTGCAGCCTCCCTTAGTACCTATGAATGCACCAGTTTGATGCCCTGCCCAGTGTCCAGTACAGGAGGTGGGAACCAGGCAAGTTTGCACCTCCTGAAGCATCGCAGACACACACTACATATCCAGAACAGGTTGAGACCGCAGCACCAGTTGGACAGGTGCACCATGGGATACGTGACCTTAGGGAAGTGTGTCTTCCAATGGTTGGCGACGTCGTTACCAGTGGGCAGGTGGAGGGTGTAGTCGCTCCAGCGCTTGGACACACCGTACGCCGCCGCCACGCTCCTCCCCTTATCTGACCATTGCGTGTCATTGTCCGGGTTGCAGTTGAAATCCACCCACTCAGACGTGAAGTCCCCCAACATGGGCAGATCTCCCGCCTCAGGGTCGACCCCGCTGGTGGAGAGCTGCGCCCCCTGTATGGCTACGTAGATTCCATCCACCTTGCGGATCTCCTTGACCCAGGGGAGAGAGTTCTCCGTGTCCAAGATGATGATGAGACGGGAGCAGTGTCCTGCGTTTTTCTCCTTCCACAGCTCCAGAATTTGTGCCAGATGAAGTCTCTCGCCTCCTGCAGCAGAGGAGGAGACAGAGAATAGCTTTTAACGCATCAACTTAAAAATTAACTGGCTTTAATTTGAACTTTGTTCTTTTGTGCTATTCCTGTTTTATATGTGTTTTTTATTTATACTATTATCTTTTATACCAATCTATTTTACACCTTGCAAAGAAGACCTTTATTACCAGTATAAAATCAGCGAGTGAAAGTTGAAATCACCTTGTCTGTTGAACGGAACTTTCGTTAAGTAATTGTCGGGCCTTAATGTGACTTTTCATTTGGTAAATGTGATAAACATCTATTTTGTTTTTAGATTTTCTGTCTTGTCTTATCTAATCAAGCTTTTTATTCATGTATATTTTATCCCGTTATGTAAACTTTTTGTGCTACAATTAAACGTCTCATCTTTTCAATTTTTGTTATCTCATGTATCATGAAAAAATCCGACCCGTAGTATTCGGCTTTCTACTGTAATAAAGGCTGCGATACATACAAGACTGATTGCTTTTGGTGGGCTGTGATTAAAAAGATAATTGAGTTGATTAGTGGCTTAATAATGAATAATCATTTTAAACCTAATTTCAACACGTGAGCTAATAATTTTGCCCACTCCTGGTCTAGAACAATTACAAATAATAATAATAATCATTTTTATTATTATAGGGTAATAATAATAATAATTTTTATTATTATAGGGATGGTTGTGCATCAGAATTGGGGTTGTCAGTAATTAGGGAAACAAAGTCATTGTGACACAGCACACCACTGAACACAAACAAATGTGACCTCTGTTTTTAACCCATCACCAAGTGAACAATGGGCAGCTTTAGGCGCCCGTGGAGCAGTGTGTGGGGACGGTGCCTTGCTCAGAGCACCTCAGTGGTAACTTGGCAGCTGGTGGACTCGAACCTGAAACCTTCCCAAGTCCCCTCCCTTAACCACCAAATCACTACATGACACAAATGTTACAATCCCAGCCCCTCCCATTACATTTATGTTCATATTTATGCACTGAACTAATGGCTACAGACTCCCTGCTTGGAGCGGCGTTATCTTCAAGGACTTTTCAACAGCCGTCACGGATGTTGATGGACACAGAAGGTTTTGCAGGAATCAAACACGTCAACCTTCACTGGTAGATCTGTCATTATCTCACATCCACCCGTCTGCACTAAGATGTTGTTTTCCAGATGGCAGTTTCAAAGTAAAAAGATCAGAGCTGCGCTGTCTCGCTGCCAGATGAACCCAATTATTTATGTTCAGTCCATATCACAGGCAGGTTCAGGTGTGTGATTCAGAGGCCAGGAAGCAATTTTAAAACACAGTTCTGCCACGAAACCGGTTTATATTTAGGATGGAGAAAATTGAGCTGCTTGTACACTGTGTCAAAACAAGCAAGTAATTCAGAGACAAAGCTGCTGAATTATTGAAGCGATATTTGTGTGTTCACACTAATTAACTGTAAAAACCAAACAAGGGCTCCTTGATTTCTGTGAAATTTAGAGTCGCTGTTAAATAAGATCTTACCACTAACATTTGAAAATTACCAATGACATTTTGAGATGAACCTCTCATTAAAGACACTCCGGATAAATAAAAAACAATTAAAAAAAAAAGTATTTTGTAAGTCATTTGTTATAAAACCAAGATGGTCTCAGTGGACACAGAAAAGTAAGAAAAATATGAACTAAAAAATTCACTTCTGTGGTGAAGTAACCTTTTAGAATTTAATTATTTAGGGTTCAGGTAACAGTTAGATTATTATGGTCTTTTGCACAAATTCGAGGCTACAGGTATAATCACCATTCCTATTAAAAGCGATAAGAGTGACAGTCAGATTGCCTCCAAGAGAGGATAGTTAAATATAACGTGTCAACGGAGCTGGTGGTTGGAATGACACTAATAAAAGCATTACTATTAAAACTTCAGGTTTCAATATAAAACATTTAGAGAACCATTTAAATAGAATAGAAATGAAAAAAAAAAACCTTCTTCAATGACACAGTAAATAAGATGGAAATTAAAGCAGATTCAAAAATGTTATGACGATATGGTCATGGTGAGTTCTCACCTGCCAGGACCCACGACCCGGTGCCTTTGTGTGTGTGTCCACTGTAGAAAATAAGATACGTGTCGTGGCGAGGCCCGTCCGCGGTGCGACGCTCCAAAAAGTCCCGCAGTTTGCTCTGCACGGTCTCCAGTGTCACGCCGCCGGTAGAGTAGTCGCAGCCGAATGTTTGGACCATGTGGTGGGAGAAGAGGCGCTGCACGTTGTTGAGCATCCCGGTCGAGCGCTGGTTCAACAGCAGCACCTGCTCTGGTGGGAGGAGTGTGGGCTGCCCATCGCCACTGAAAGATGGAAAATAATTTTTTTTTTTGCTAACTTTGACAAAGTTTGGAGTCAGATTTAAAAAGTTAGAAGTCCCGTCAAAAGATGAATGACTTTGAAGGCTGACGGTTTGACACATCTGAAGAAACGGAGATGTTTCCATCACTTAGAGACAGAAAGATGACGACACGAAAAAAAGAGAGAGATGAAAGCAGTCACAGAGGTGGATCAGTGCTCCAGGAAATAACATTAGCCTCAGGTTCGAGGAGGAGGTGGAGAAAAAAAAAGAAGGAAAAGTTTAAAGAAGAAGTGTTTTGAGAGCAGTCATGAGCAAAGTCTGGTCCTGGGGCCCATCATGGTACTTGAACTATGGCCTTAGAATAAGTCTTTTTTTTGGGCCCTGGAGCAAAAAACTGCAAAGTCTTTATACTGGTTATATACTGAAGAATTACTCTGACATTTTGAATTTTTTTTATTGGCCTGGCATTCAAGCATTCCTGATCTAACTTCAGGAATCTTTTATTTAGGTTTCACATCATTTCGTTTTACTATTATTCAATTCTTGCTATTTCAAGGTCGACTATTTCAAAGCTCGTGTCATCCCTGGGGACAACTTGACTGTGTTGGAATTAAAAGGTTTTTTTCTTTTTTGAATAGATTGAACTGAAATTTGACTAAAAGCATAAGATAGAATCAAAAATGTTATGACGATATGGTCATGGTGAGTTCTCACCTGCCAGGACCCACGACCCGGTGCCTTTGTGTGTGTGTCCACTGTAGAAAATAAGATACGTGTCGTGGCGAGGCCCGTCCGCGGTGCGACGCTCCAAAAAGTCCCGCAGTTTGCTCTGCACGGTCTCCAGTGTCACGCCGCCGGTAGAGTAGTCGCAGCCGAATGTTTGGACCATGTGGTGGGAGAAGAGGCGCTGCACGTTGTTGAGCATCCCGGTCGAGCGCTGGTTCAACAGCAGCACCTGCTCTGGTGGGAGGAGTGTGGGCTGCCCATCGCCACTGAAAGATGGAAAATAATTTTTTTTTTTGCTAACTTTGACAAAGTTTGGAGTCAGATTTAAAAAGTTAGAAGTCCCGTCAAAAGATGAATGACTTTGAAGGCTGACGGTTTGACACATCTGAAGAAACGGAGATGTTTCCATCACTTAGAGACAGAAAGATGACGACACGAAAAAAAGAGAGAGATGAAAGCAGTCACAGAGGTGGATCAGTGCTCCAGGAAATAACATTAGCCTCAGGTTCGAGGAGGAGGTGGAGAAAAAAAAAGAAGGAAAAGTTTAAAGAAGAAGTGTTTTGAGAGCAGTCATGAGCAAAGTCTGGTCCTGGGGCCCATCATGGTACTTGAACTATGGCCTTAGAATAAGTCTTTTTTTTGGGCCCTGGAGCAAAAAACTGCAAAGTCTTTATACTGGTTATATACTGAAGAATTACTCTGACATTTTGAATTTTTTTTATTGGTCTGGCATTCAAGCATATCTGATCTAACTTTCAGGAATCTTTTATTTAGGTTTCACATCATTTCGTTTTACTATTATTCAATTCTTGCTATTTCAAGGTCGACTATTTCAAAGCTCGTGTCATCCCTGGGGACAACTTGACTGTGTTGGAATTAAAAGGTTTTTTTCTTTTTTGAATAGATTGAACTGAAATTTGACTAAAAGCATAAGATAGAATTGATTAAAAAAATGTACACTTTGAAATTTAAATAACAATCAAAACGGGGTGCAGGAATTTCTGACCCTTTAGGCTAACTTTAAGCTTATGTTCTAAATGCATTTGCCAATACTTTCAAAAACAGACTTTTTTTCCAGCAGCCGATTGCTTAAAGTGACCTGATGTAAAAATTGCCTTCCCCTTTCTTTAGTTAAAGCAGACACTGCTATTTGCGTTTTGCTGTCAGCAAGTAAGCCCTAAAATTTAAGAAGATGTGAAATAGGTTTTAAACTTGATTTTTGTAATTTCTTAAGGCCTTAAGAGGTATTTACTAATAGAAACTAATCGAGTCGACAGTCCAGTTAGTTTGGTCCATTCACCAACATCAAATATGACCTTGTAGGAAGGCAATGCAAAGGGTAAAAAGTCTCATGTGATTCAGGGGTGAGAGGTTGCACAGACCCTGACAGAGAGTGAGCACTAAGATAAAAAAAAAAAAAACTTGCGATTTGGTTTGTAAATGCTCATGTGATAAAATGTCTTTCACAACATGTACATGACCATCCTGTTCCTCCACATCAAGTCAAACCCGGCACTAACGCGTTTCCCCTTCATCACCAGACTCGTTGTCATTCATGGCCAATCTGATGACAAGGCCGTGCTTCACTCTCACAGACATCTGCATAATTCTGCCATCCCTCTATTTGCCCTCTGCCCCGCTTATCACCTTCAACCCTACCTTGACAATGACAGCTGGGAGTTTTATCTAAAGTGGATGAGATAGAATTGCTTTTCTGGCCAGTGGGCAGATAAGCAGTTGTTGACAGCCAAAGCAGATGTATTCCTCGGGCGTGCAATATGACACTCTTATCGATGTTGACACTGCCTGCGCTAAGCAGCTTTTTCATTTTGTACCATTTTCTGTACTTTTCATCCAGCAGCACAAACAAATGTATTTGTTCAACGTCCAAAAAGTGGATTTAAACTAGAGCAACAAGAGATGTACAACACCTCGGTGAGAAAATGACAAGCTGTAACCTCCGCGTGGCTCACTGTTGCTGCTCACCTAAACCCATCTAATCTTTGTCAGATCTTGTGGCGCCCAGGGGAGAGAATGTAGTTAGAGATTCAGACCACATCGCTCTTGTTACACCGTCTCTCCCCTTCATCCTTAAAAAAAAAAAAATTCCTGTCCATTTTTCTGACTTCTCAGAGCTCCATCCTCTCTTTATTTCCCCACAATTCCATCTTTTTATTTGCTGTCTGTCCCTTTTGGCGTTCAACACCTTCCCTTCTGTTTTACTGTCCATAACCTCTGTCCTCGCCTTGTCTTTCCCCGTTGTATCGCCTCAGTCTTGCTCCCTCTTTTTTTTTTTTTTCACACCCTATCCTTGAAATCTCCCTGTGGAGCTCTTGTCATTGTGAAAACATGATCTGGAGCAATCAAAGGAGAGATAATGTATCACTGAATTCTCATTGCGCCCCCATCAGACACAGCACGTCTGGTCATGCATACAAATGACCGCTGTTTCGACAGGACGTGCGCTCGCATTCCAAAAATCACCTGGAAAGTAAAACTCAAGGAACATCTGTATTTCATCTTCACGAGATTGCGTTGTAGGCACGTTTACACACACACACACACCAGAAAAAGCCAAAAAATATTTTAAAAGCTGGATTTATAGACTGTTTGGGGAATTGTGAAAAAAATAAATATAAACACCCTATATAAATGAAGGCTGGTTTGTGAGGGAGAAACATCGCTATCATCAAAACAAACTCAGCTGGTTCGCAAAATGCTTGGCCAACTGAGAATGGCTGGGACAGGCTTCAGCGCCAGCCAATGGCCAAGTGCAGCAGCTGAGCAACTTTGTATGCAGTGGAGAGAGCGGCACAGTAATCCCTTCAGGGCACAAACATTAGCTGCATGTTTATGCATCGTTATTGGCCTATTTATCCAGTTGGTTTTGTGTTTACTGAGGAGTGAGCAGAAATTAGCGATTAAGACATTTGGTTAAAATTAAAAACCCAAGTCTCAGATGGTTATCACATCATTCTTTAAACATTGTATTTCCGCAGTTTGTCGAAGTGATAGGTTACAAATATTACAAGCAAAACATACAAGTTCCAAATAATAAAAGTGGTCTTTGTTCAGGGATGCTGCCCCCTGTCTGTAATTTCACTTTTTTTCACGGGTTGGAATGTAGGGACTCTAGGTGATGCAACTAATGTTTGCAGCCAATTAAAATTTAAAGTGAAAGCTAGTAGAAGGGTCAGGATGAGTTGCCAACATATCTGAGGAGAAAACTGTAATTGACCTGCTCGACCATGCTAACAATGGTAACCCACATTTTAAAAAATCACATAAAAACACACCAGTACCTGGAGTATGCGGTAGGTATGACCAGGGCGTAGCCAATACAGGTTCCTCCCAAGCAGCTGCCCAACTCATGGAACAAGCCGAGGCAGAGAGACTCCAAAGGCAACACCATCAGCAGAGCGGCGAGAAAGAGACCATTGTTGAGCTGCAACGTACCCAAAAAAAAAAAAAAAAAAAAAAAACATACATTAAATAAAAAGCCCTGTAATCAGAGTCAATTTCACTTCCACCAGTTACAGCTCATACAGTACAGAAGCAGTCAAAGCCGGTTAATTGGTGGTGACACTTAGCAAGACAGTTATATAATGGGGGAGTGACACGGTGTTATTATCGCAGGGCAAAACATGACAGCACCTAGCTAAATGGAAACGCAATAGTGTGTGACAGATGACTAAACATACATCACAGGATCCAAAGAGAGGTGAAAGAGGTGAATCATATGCATTGCATGAACCTGTACTTTCTGATCTGCTGCTGTAGAATGAGGTTATTGAACATAAACTCCAGCCAGTTCAAAAGGTTTATATGGAATTCAATTTTCAATTTCTTTCTATATCTGTTTATTGATTAATGTATGGGGCGCAACTACCGGAAGGAAACTGTCATAGTTCAGTGATGATGATGACGCGACTTATATAACTGTGTTATTTTCTCAACCCTAAAATCCTCAATTTTGTTGTACCACTGCCGTACAATGACAATAAAGACTATTTTATTCTATTTTGATTTGATTTGATAAAGACTATTTTATTCTATTTTGATTCATTAAAAAATTACAAGTTATTTCGTGTTAGTTCAATAAACTTGATATTTATTCTGTGGAAAAAACCTGAAAAGTTTGAGAACCACTGATTTAAGTACTTGAAATGTGAGGAAATTTTTTTGGTGCGTTCTTTTGTCATGCCAGTGGATCCAAAACTTTCTCTTCAATCATCCTCCTATTGTAACTCAGAGTATAATCGAGCCCCGCCCCCTTAGGCGATACATTCACAGTTTATTCTTTAACACTCGCACACTTTATTTCCTATAAAACTGCTCTCATTCTTGCCTTGATAATCGTCACCTTATTTATACCATCTCATTTTGCAGTAGTACTTGAACTACTACCAGATAGTCACCTTATTTATACCATCTCATTTTGTAGTAGTACATGAACTACGTCTACAGACGTGACTGAAATAAAATACTGTAAAAGATTTAAAATTGGATGAAAGTAAACAATAAATATGTAGTTGAGCTGCTGTCATTTCATACTTGAAGCAGGATTCTACACCACCAGTTAATTCAGTGACGTTTCCCTCAGGTAGGAAGTGTCTTTATGAGTTAACTTCACACTGTGGAAATAAACTCTTCACTCCTGTGCTTCTCCATCAATCCACATTTTCAAACTTTCACAGAAACTTTCTTTCAAAAGAAAGTTTCATAAGTACATTAATATTGAGAAATAATCTTTTTTTTTTCTTTTTAAAGATGAAAAGTGTGTTTAGTGACTTCCTGGAATAAACTTCCAGTTTCTGAAAGTTGTATTTCCTGCTAAGGCTGCATTTTTTGAATGTGTAAGGGAGAAAGTTGTGTGGATTCGAGCTGTGAATATATTACAGCATTTCTACAGTACCAGGAAGGAAAATAGCTTTAAGAGCATCCGGAAATCAAATGGCTGAACACTAACTTCTGCAAATGTGATTGCTGACAGCTCATGATACTTCAGGCAAATTTGCTACTGACATTAACAGATCTCAAATTAGCACCCGGGCCCACGAGACTCTTCCAAAATAAACGTCTAATAAGGCTAAATAAGTTATTGCTTCTCCTCATTCAAGTAGATAGAGGATATTAAGGTGCTAATTAAATTGGTTCCACATGAGAGCTGAGATGCCTTAGCTTGGGGAGCAGCTACCGCTTACACCGCTGCCTGTGGAATTTCTCTGAAGACTTAACAGCATGTGTGTTTACAGAAGCCTTGTCATGAAACTTAAAATGCTGGAAGAGGAGGATTAACAACAAGAGACTCATTAAAGGTGCAGACATTTTTTTTTTTGATGTTTTTCATTTTCTAACACTAGGGATATAAAATCAATTACTGTGTTTTGATTACATTTTCAGCACGTAGATCTAGACTGTGGCACGATTACGTACATTTTAACACATTTTAAAACAATCTCTCCTACCTGCCAGGACACAGCTCCCATTATCACAGTCGACAAAAGGCAAAAGAACACAAGCCGTTCCGAAATGAGGCAGAAGTGTCGGATGCCCCTGGACGCCATGACTTGTTCCAGACTTAGACTGTTGGACCGCTGGACCCGCCAGGCCTTCTGACAGTCGTTCAGTTTAGTATGGAAACCCCAAACTGTGATGACCAAAATGATGTGGCAAATGGACCAGAAAAGGCCAAAGAGAAGAAAACCTGGGATAACGAGATACCACTGCTGCAGGTGGCTCAGCTGTGGAAAGAAAACATGTAATTAATTAATACATGTACATACTTGTAGTACTTATTTGAATTTAAAGAAATACTAGTTTAGAGTGGCTCAGCTGTGGAAAGAAAACATGTGATTTTAATACATGTACATACTTGTATATTTATTTGAATTTAAATAAATACTAGTTTTAAAGGCTATATATTTAAAGTCCTATATGATGTAGGTGTTTTTTTATTCTAAATGCCAAGGGTACCTTAAAAGCAGCCTGGACAAAGAAGGCAATCTCCATGACGCTCAGAGGAAGCAGGGATAACCGCCTCCAAATCTTCCCCAGAGACAGCACTGGCATCCAGCGGTCACTGGGCCCGAGCCCACTGAAGTACACATCCAGCACTGGCTCACACAGGAGCCGGCCCAAGTAACAGCCCAAAGCGAAGGGGTTAGCTGTGATATTTAAGGCCTGAAAAAACACCAAGGATGTAACCAAGGCGAAACAGACCAGATTGGGCAAGGCCAGGAGGGTTTTCATCCTCAGGTCCACGATGAGAGCTCCGAGGGCCACTACCAACCAAATGATGGCCATCGACTTGTTAAGGTGCATTGCGGTGCTGGCAATTCCGAATCCCAAGAGCTCCTGCAGCTCAGCAGAGGTCAACAAAGTCGATTTGTAATTCACAGAAGTGCATATTCGCTCAGTTACTGCCCATAGTGCTTTAATAATTACACTGGCGAGGAGGAGATAGTTGGTCACCAGTTCTTTGACATCCGAATCCAAAACCGGGCTGTTAAGGAAGCAAAGGAGTCCGAGCAGAAAACCAAACCACAAATGGTACAGGCTGAGACTCGCCTTCTCCATAGCAAAGTAGTAATGGAGAATGCAGGCTATACCAAGGACAAACAGACCCAGGATGAAGATGACCAGAATCATGGGTTCGCTCGTCACCTCCCATCTTACATACATGCCTACACACACTCCTACGAGAAGGTTGATGCTGGAGAGATAACCCAGACATCGTAACGATGTAAACAGGTCCACCTCCTTGGGCTCCTCAACCACCAGATCGTCTTTCTCCTCCTCCTGAGCCATGGCTGCCTTGGAAGCAGGTTATCCAAATGCTGTAGAGGTTTCTGTCTCTTCTGTCCCCTCCACCGGTCTTGTAAAGGTTTGCATACGGAGGACGACGCCTCTTGATGACATTGCGCACGTCAACCCCTGTGAACAGTTAAAAACAGCAAATTTTAGTCAATGTAATCAGTAAAGACATGGATTAATTAATCAGGTATTTTTTTCTGATTAGTGCAAACATTATATAAAATGACTAAAATGAGTGTCACCTTTTGAAAAAAAAAAAGGATTTCCTCAATTCTTTATTGGTTTAGGCAACAAACCCAAGACATTGACAACACTGTCTAAACAACTGTGTAAAGGATCTTTGTTCAAGCTGATAAAAGCAGAAAAAAACATGTTTGAGTAAAAAACAAGTCATATCACATGGTTGGTTTTCAGAAAAAGTTGCAACCTTATTACAATGGACTTGATAAACCAGTTAACTGTTAAACTATTTGATATTCAAACGTGATATTGAACTCTTTGAATTAAAATAAAATACGATTTGTAATAAGTTGTTAATATTCGGTTGTCAAGCAAGAAATTCGTTATTTTCACAAAAAAGTAGCATTTTATGCTACGTCATCCTTTTTTACTATGATTTCTATGAAGTCTTAATGACTATACGAAACAAATAGCTCTTATTTTCGAATCATATGTAAGATTCCTACATAATTAAAATCCCGTTTATCCGCCTTAAAACTACATTTCATAGTTTGTCATTTACTTTATGATGCTAAACACATAAATGACTTTTTTTTCAATTACTCACAAGGGGATTTGGCTGAGATTGAAACCCTGAAGCTATTGTAAATTGCTAACCTGGAGAAATTCAAACAAAACAAAGATGTAACATCGAGATGCAGCATCAGAAAGAAGTACGTGTAACAGCAAACGACAGCGTGTCAATGGCATTAATCATCGCGCTTGGCTCAGCTTTGTTTCTGACGATGTGGCACTGTAAACGGGAAGTTTGCTAACTCACATAGCCTCCCTGCTAACTTTTTGCTAAGGTTCTCGTTACACACCATTTCGCTCATTTCAAAGGCATCTCTATAGCCCGAAAAATAATTTATTTGTGCATTTTAAAGTGTACGCACCGACATACAGGGTCGGGAAATTATCTTTAGGTTATATTTTTTGCTTACATATCGTTTGTTTAGATGACAGCCGTCTTAGTTCCGGATTCCCAAACTACGGCATCCAGTATAGGCCAAAAGTGACAGAGCTGCGCTTTTTTGAGGCCAAAAGACTGAGCATTAGTATGGCAAAGAAACGTTATTCTTAGAAATAAGAACGAATATATGAGTTTATCCTTAAATATTGCTCATTAAAACAACATTAACAGGTTTTCAGATACAAATAAAATACAATGATAATATAATAATAAATAATATTAACATAACATCACATAATAAATTGTAAAGGTCTTACATTTACAAACCTTTAATTTTTCTCTATTGTATTTAATAAAGAAAAAGCCTTTTCCACATATCCATTAATCCACATATGATTTTATTTTTTTAATTTAATTATTAATTCATTTAATAAATATGTTTAAAAATTAACAGTGTGAGATGTTTCACTGTGACCTCTATTGTTCCTGTGTTTTATAAAGTCATAAAGCTTAATAATAAAACGGAAAAGCCCTTTATTATTGCACTTTATAAAAGGCCACATAAACATTAATCAAAACAACTTTAAATTTGTCTGTAAAAAAACAACCTGTTATTGTTCCCTGTACATTTATGTCATTTCTGCCTGCAATTTGTAAATGTAGAGCAGGAAAGTTTCAACATCAACACCTCTGTAGCCTTAGTTAAAGTGGTGTCTTGGATAAAAACTTTATTTTATTATGATGGAAAAATCGGTTGAATGGTTTGTTCAGGATCAGAGGCCAGGTCCAAGCACATTTGAAGAAACCAAATATATTTGGAGGCATTTATTTTCCTGCATCTCTTTGAGTGTATGTGTGTGTGTATGTGTGTGTGTGATTTCAGCTGCTCTTTAGACATTCACTTGAAGACTGAATGGGAACAAACAGAGCAGCCTCCCACACAGACCTATTTCTCTGAGAAGTGTTAAGCATGACAGAACACTTTTAACCACAGTTCTAACTAAAAGGAACATTTTGGTTTCAGTTGAAGTGAGGCTCAGCAGATAGGCTTAGCATCGCAGTCAAAACGCCTCAAATGAACTGCTTTTTCACCTGAACATTGGAAATTTGTTGCACACTAGGATGTTTTTTATTTTTCAACTTCAGTCATTTATAAAATCTAACTCAAATGGAGTGGATTTACCAAAAGAAGGACATTTAAAACCCACATTAAGCAGAGCTTGTATTTTATAATCCAGCATGACGTTAATTCAAAAATAACTCTCCATATATTAGGCTAAGAGCTTGAGTCCTTATGTGCCATAATATAAAATGTCTTCTGACTTATGATATCCAAAGGCTCGTTGACCAGAACATGAACTTAAGCTTGTTAAAAATTCATGGTCCTCAGTGAATAACTAATAACCATGCCTTAATGCAAGGCTATATTTTAATCTAAAGAAAACCATGGGTTTCATGGCATAAAAAAAAAGCAGATGGAAAGAAACAAACCCTGGTGCATGATGAGCAGGCTCTCACTTCCATATTCATCACTTACACAGTCAAAAAGTAACAGTCGTTCCCTTGAACATATTTGCTCTAAATTTTATGTCTAGAACCTACCAGAGGTGAGACCAAGTCATTGCTTTGCACAGTCACAAGTAAGTCTCAAGTCAAGACAGGCAAAGTCTGAGTCGAATCCAAGTCAAGACTGAAAAGTGTCAAGTCAAGTCTCAAGTCCTGCCGTTTCTGTTTCGAGTCCTAAAATAATAATATATTTAGTTTGACAGCTATTGCTCATTGGTTGTCCCGCAATTTGATTGGCTCGATGCTATCGCGTGAAAACAATGTTGGTCTAATCTGATTGGATGTTGTTCCTACAGCACAGACACACACACGTACACAATGAGAGATACAGAGCGCTCCTTAATAACTTACTCTATAATCTTTTGGTTTTGGAGAAAATATCAAGTCTTGTCGAATCAAAGTGAAGTCACGAGTCAATGATGTTTAAAGTCCAAGTTGAGTTGCAAGTCTCGTCAAGTCGAGTCTAAAGTCATCAAATTGATGACTCGAGTCCAAGTCATGCGACTCGAGTCCACACCTCTGGAAACTACTACCATTTTTCACAAGAATCAACCGCAGGCACGTATCTCTATAATGTAGCCCACAGTATTTGGAACTAAAACATTTTTTGATTTTATTGCACACCGACTTCAGTTTCATCCTCATAAAGATGTCTACGTTGTTGGCAGTTGGTTGCCCACGAGCCCGGCTGACTTAAAAGAAAACAACAAGAGCAGATTGATTGATCTTATTCCAAACTGCAGCGGCAGATCTGTGCGGCGCTGCGGCTGCTGATAGTCTGGGAGCTAAGTTTCCTTTGGTCTCAAGGCTGGCAAAAAAAAAAAAAAACAGAAATACTAAAGGTTTACATAGATACACCTGTGTGAAAATGCACCGGCAGATGCTGCTTTTATGGCCCAAAAAAAAAAAAAATTAAAAAGTGTGCACTGATACAGGAAAAGCATGTTATTTCATTACACGGCGAAATCTTTCCTGGCGGAGATAAGACATTTACCCACTGCATCAGAGGAGCTCTCACATGAGCGGAGAAGTCATTAGAGCCTCTGCTAATTCCTCTGAACATCATTCATTTCTGGTAGAGGAAGAAGACACATTATACCATGAAGGAGTCATCACATTTATTTAATTAAAGCCTCAAAGTTGCGTTCATGCATAATTTAACAATCCGGTGATCAAATAATTTCCCAAAACTGAAGAGTGTGCGCGTGCGTGTGTGTGCGTGCGTGTGTGTATGTCTCAGGTCTAATCTCTAAGATGAAGGGCAGACTATCACAGCTGCTGATTAGAGCTCATGAACGGTGTAGCTATGGAATGATCCCTGAGAGGATGAAGCAACAGATCTTCAAATGAATGATCCCTGAGAGGATGAAGCAACACAGACAAAAGGCACAGGGAGGGAAGAGAAGACGAGTTTACTTTACATTTTAAATTGGAAAGGTTACACCAGGATAGAGAGAGAGAGGGAGAGGGCGAGAGAGAGAGAGAGAGAGAGAGGGAGAGCAGGGGAGAGATGTAGCAGAGACTAAAGAAGACAGGTTTTATCTGAATTATGCAGAGGCCTTCTTTCGAATGTCAAACACACACCTTCACTCCACCTGCATGTGCATGACTGCAGCACACCGACCGCACACAGTCACACACTCATGATTCAACTCGCTCAGGCGTGGGTTGGAATCGTATAAATATTCATTTACATCGTATTTGATGTCAAGTCGGTCTCGGGCAGCCGGGCCGTGAATGAGTCACTTTTTTTTAAAGAGCCATGACATGAATTCCATCATCGTCATCATCATCATCATCATCATCATGGACAATACTCGACTAAATGAGGTTCATCTGCACCAGCGGGACTGCTAATGCTCATGTGACTCATGACACGGTGCCATTGTTGGATCTTTGAATAATTGGCCAATCAATTGTTCCCACATCTCTTCTTTTTTTCCCTCTGACTCAGTGACACAATGTCTCATTCAAATGTATATCATCCTATAATATTACAATCTATCGTATATATAAACGTTCCCTTAAGTCAAGGGTCACCAGCTATATTTATCTTAGGGTCAGAATTTTCTGGACATCCCGCAGGGCTGGACAATAGATTACAATGAAAATAAAAATCATGTTTTTGTCTAATGTCATAAATGGTGGGGATTATTGATATTTGAGTCTGAATTGTTGATTTCTTTTCCAGTTTATTTAATAATGGGGACCACACAATATCTTCTCTTTGATCCTCACAATTTTGGACTCGAGATCGACAATTCGGTGGGCCAGATTTGACCTGCGGGCCACGAGTTGATGATTACTGGCCTCAGTGATTTTTTTTCCAAACTCTAAAATTTGTATTGTAGGTGCCAAATGGAATGTGATGGACTGTCGTTTTTTCATATTTAGGAATGTTGGAACGTTTTCTCAATTAATCACGATTAATCGTTATTCATGACCAGTTATGCTTCGATTATTCGGATTAGAGAAGTTGATCTTTCGACAGGCTTTTCCTAATATATATAGTAGTAGTTGCAGCCACTGATTCTTACCTCTTGTCAAAACTGTTTCCTGCTCTGTGCTATATTTACCCTTCACTCGTCACTGCCATGTATAACTGCCATGTGAGCCTCTCGATGCCCCCAGGGAAGAAAAAAGTTTTCTGAATGAAATGAGAAGTCTTTAAATATCATGAGCACATTTAAGATGCAGAGCAAATTTGGATTTGTTCAATGAAAATAAGTTTTTATATTTATATAGAAATTAAAGATAACAATGACTCAATTATCTCCCCTATTGGGATGCTTGTTCATTAACAAAAACAAAAAAAAAATCTAAATCTGCCTTGAAGAAGACCAACTCCTCACCATGAAGGCTTCAGCCTTTTTTTTTTCAGTTTGATGTTCAAGTAAAAACCGTTAGAAAAGAACCGATGCTTGTGAGGGTCTGCGGTCCAATCTTATGTGATGAAACCGCCAGCTAATTAAAAACTGTGATAAGAAAAGTCGTAAAAGTAAAAAAAAAAAAATCTATTTCTTCTCGGCTCACTGGGGATTTAATATATCAAACTCAATCTGAGCGTCACTGTGCAAATGTCTGCGATGTAGCCATTTAATTACAGACTTCCTTCTCTGCCTCCTCCGTCTTGACAGTGCAGAGCTGTGTTCAGTGCGATGGAGACAGAACTCATTTGGACTTAAACACAGGCCATAGCATGTAGCGTGTGATTGGCCTCATGTTGCGTGTCAGGCAGGTGACGGAGTGCATCAGTGTCCTCCTTGATGTGACGTAGCACACGGGCGGCGAGGGGTCGATTCCATCAGAATTTCATTTGGAGAGAAATCACTGTGATGGAGTGCTGCACCCAAAGTGGATGTTAGGAGAGGGCGATGGAACGG